ATATCCCATATCCCATATCTCATATCCGATATCCCATATCCCATATCCCATATCCCATATCCCATATCTGGTATCCCAAATCCCATATCCGATATCCCATATCCCATATACCATATCCCGTATCCCATTTCCGATATCCCATATCTCATATCCCATATCCCATATCTAGGTTATGTCAAAGTTCCTCGCCACTTGTCGCTGTCGACAGGAATTTTTCGAAGCAACTAACAAAGACTGTGCTAATCGAATTATCAACGATACGCATGAGGTCTGGTGAAAATAGATTTTTGAAATAGTGAATAAAATATAAATCTTTCTATATATCTTCTCATGTAAGACAGAACTTCGCAAATAAATATTCTGTGAAACAATATTTTCACGTGGTCACGGCACTTCAAACATATTTCAGGGGAAGGTACAAATATTTATTGCCTATTTACCGTTTCAAAGATCTATTTTTCCTCAGGCGTGCATGACGAATAGTATAATTTGTGTTTCTACTCACTGATAAGACACGCATTCGCGCGACTGCGATTGGATGCCTGTGCCACAGGTTCTCGAACACTCGCTCCAGGGACTCCAGGTTCCCCAGGTGCCCCTGATTTGATTGTCCCGACCTAGACCGAATTGGGTCTTCTCCCGCAGCATGTGATATACCTGGAAAACATGATTACAAGATCGGCATTCGTTTCGGACAAAACTGAGACATTTGTGGAAAGCTGTAGGACTGTCAAAAATCGAAGGATTCCTGGACGAAGCGGGTTACTGATCGGTTATCGATGATTTCGGGGATCCTGCTGGATCGAACGTGGAAGTGCCGGCATCGAAGGGAACCCAGACCTATCCCCGTAGACGCCATAATCCGGCCGTCCATGAACCGAGACCGCTCAAAGCACCGAGTAGGTTCGCCCCGGTGGTTTCGTATTACGCGTTGACGGCTTTGACGCAAACGTTCATTACGCATCGAGTCCGTTATTCATTGTCTCGAGCACGCGGGAATTCGAGACATTACGTAATCACGTACGCCTCTAGGCCCCGTAATTAATTTCATTAGGAGATCCTTTGGCTCGTCGGATTAATCAATCAGGAGGCGGCGAACGAAATTGCGCCGGCTGACGATAATCAAATGGCTGGTCCTCGCACCGGTAATCCGCGCGGGTTAATAACAGGAGTGCAAGGGAGAGGAGGCACAGAGGACCGAGGGCACAGTATCGTCAATATATCGGCCGATAGAAAGTGTCCGTTCCATAATTAATATCGGGTAATACCGTGATCGGAGCCCCTAATTAAATCACTCGCGATACGGCGGCGTGTCAATCGGCTTCGTAATTAATTAAAAGATGATTGCGTCCCGCGGGCCGAATATCGAGCCTTCTGTCCTCGGCCGCGAATTATTCTCACCGAACCCACGATTATTCGTCCAAAGGCAGACCGCGGAGCGATCGTTCGGCTAAAAAGCGCGGGAATGCAGAATTGTCCATTCCGTTTAAGACTCCGAAGCGCCGATCCTGGAAAATATTGCACCGACATTCCAAAAGTAACGGCCCGAGGGAGCCCGGATTAACGTTTCTAATAACCGGCGTTCCATTTCGCGGAGTTGCAGCGGCGATCGGTTTCAGTTTCAAGCGGCGGTGTTCCGCTGAATTCGAAATTCGAGCGGCTCTCGGAAAGTCGTTAACATCGCAGAAACAGAGTCTAATGTTTTCGTAATGACAGACATTAGCCCCGGCACGTTAATCGCGGCTCGCATCGGCTTCCCGCGCGAGTTTGCACAGAACGAAACGCGAAAACACTTTCCGAAGGGGATAAGGACTGTCGGTCGTCAGACTCGCGCAACCGGCTGAATAATGGAAACGCGCTTTAGCAGCCTGCTTGCATACGCAATGTCTTCGGGCTGGCTTCGCGATAGGCCAGCAGAGACCCGAACCGAATATTCAGACGTGGAGAGCGAAAATTGCGCGAGCTCGAGTCTGTACGAAGAAACTCGAAAATGGAGATAATTAGTGCACGTGCATATAAATCTGTATAAAGAAAATCGATCATTTTTAGATACAGTGGACCAAAAAAGTGTTCGGATACCTTTTGAAATGCAATAACTATTTTATAATTGAACTAAATGACTCGAATTTTTTTTAGATGATAGAGAGACTAGTCTACCGGACGATCATTGGAATGATTTTCTTTTTTTAAATTTTGCTATTACTTGGAATGAAAAAATAAAAATTTCTCGTTTTTTAACTTCTTTATCCGAGTTTATAACGAAAATTTAAAAAATGTCTTTCGTAAATCTCGCTAACTTATATGCATGTTGAAAATTTTATCGAAATCGGTTCACGTTGCTTCGAATTACGACAAATTAAGGATCGCAAAAATCACAGTTTTATCACGATTTTGACCAAAAACTCTAAGAAATCTGCAGTTTTCGAAATCTCTCAACGTTTATAGCTCGACACTGGGTTAACCGATTTCGATTAAATTTTCAGCACGCATTTATGTTATCGAGATCTACGAAAGGTATTTTCTAAATTTTCGTTACAGGCTCAGATAAAAAAGTTAAAAAGACGACGAATTTGTTCGTTTCATTCCAAGTAATAGCAAAATTAAAAAAAAAGCTATCATCAACGTCATCGTCTAATAGACTGGTCGCTGGTACGATCTAAGAAAAATTCGAGTCATTCGGTTTAATTTTACGAAAGTTATCGCGGCCCACTGTGCGTACGAAGCAAATCGAAGGCGGACACGAAAGTCCGACTAAGAATTCAATTATTAATGTGACAAGGCGACGCGTTCAGCGAGAACGTGCTTCGAGAATAACACTTAGGATTATTTCTAGAAAAACTCTGTTGTCTCGTGAATCGCATTTAACCCTAGAAAGATAACCATATGACAACGTACGTAAAAGATAACCATACGCTTCAGAGGCGCATGCTTTTCTAAGGCGTCAATTTTATACTAACAATGGATATTTATTTAAGTTAATCTAGTCATTTTAAAGGTTTGGCATTATTGTAAAAATAAAATGCATTTATATTATATTTTTTTATATTTTAAGTAATTTTAAACTTAAATCACTGGACCTCTATGAAAAATTAACAAAAATCAACAGTCTTCGCAGGCGCCTCTGCGACGTAGGTTATCTTTCTCGGGTTAAAAGAACATTCCTCTGAAACACTTTGAATTGTGACTCCGGCTCGACGACTGTCTTTCTCGAAGTGGCGTAAGAAGATTAAAACCGTGTGTTCGTGATCCGGAGAACGCGTTCGCGAAAGCCGTAGCGATTTTTACACGTGGAGCGAGAGAGCGCCGAAGAAGTCGCTAACCCGAACGAATTGCAGCGATTAAGCTCGGATTAATTTCGAATGAATTCGATCACGGTTGCGCGGAGTTCAACAGGTAGTATAGGCATCGACGTTTTCGAAGGTGCGGGAAACCGGTCCGTGAAATCGCGTCGGTTCGAGTGAAAAATCGCGAGCGGAACTGCGCCGGGTACAGCGGCGTCGCCGAGATTGAGAGATCCTTCGCGTGCGATTAGGCGCGTAAAGAGAGGCGTTATGGCCGGCCGTCGGCTGGGGGGAACAGGCGTTTTCACGAGCGACAACGGTCGTGTCCGAGGTCGGCCGGCCGGCGATATCGCAATATTTTGCAAAACAAACGATCCATTTAAGCGTGCTACGAACGCGCGCTGGCCGTGGGGCGCCTGTAATGTTTGCGTTCCGCGGCGATCGGCTCGGCTCGGCTCGGCCGGAGCCGGCCTTGCGGATCCGCGAGCAGCCAGAGCGGCCACGGCTCTCGCATCCTCGGCTGTAATTTAGGAAGCTCCTCCAGTGTCAATTAATTGGCCACCGCGCGCCACCCAAGAATAACGTCCACGTAATTGCTTATTAATTCCTGTAAGTGGATTAAATTAATATGCGCGGTCCGAGGCCGTGCGTTCGAGGTAAAATATCTTAATGGACGCGATAACCACGATAACGTTATTACGGTCGTAAGTTAACCGGCGAGGAGTTATGTATCAGATTACTCTGAAAATCCGACGAGCTACCAGGCTTAATGAACATATCCCGGCCCGGAAAGCCGATACTTTTAGCGTATCGATGTCGAGGCCTCGACGTTTACAAACTGACGGCCAACTTTGCTTTACCGAACCTCTCGGAAAATTAGCGACTTTCCCCTCGCGGATCGCTTCGTTAGCGTACTAGACAAAGGGGATCTTGATCCTTTCCCGAGCTCGACAATGAAATTCGGGGGACAACCGACGGTACAGTGGAACCTTTTTTAACCCATGATTTTACTTTATAGAAATATAAGATTCTTCGACACTATAGATTCACGGAACCCGTCGAAACGACGGTTAACTTTTTTAATTTACGATCTTTCAATTTGTAAAGATACATTTAGTTAGAATTGTTTATTATTATTTATTAGAGTTAAATTATTTTATCGGAGTTATTTTTTAGAGTTATTTATTCAATATACGCGTTACTTGCAGCAAACGTTACAATAATACTCTTTAAAAATCAGACTAAATGTTTTATCATTACTTTTATGAACTGATATGAAACAGCAACGAATGTAAAGTTACTACTTCTGAAAACAATTGTTTAGCCATCGTCTGGTAAACTGATCCCTTTAACATCCCCAAAAAGTTAAGATCGCTTGGCTCGATTATAAAAAAGCTGTTCCATTTTTAAAACTGCAGAAAACTTTTCTGATGCATTGTACTGCACGCTGCGATAAAAGTAAAAGAGCAGTTTGTCCGGCACGTCGTTTAATTTTCTGTGAAAAAAATGTGAAGAGAACATTTCTCTTCGTTTCCAATAAATATTTAGTAAATTTATCGAGCTGCGCGGCCGGCTATTTTGCAAAACAGACAGTGAAGAAATCAATTTACTTTAATAAAACAAATTTGCCTCTTATTATACCGATGTTTTACGGAAGCGTCAATTCGACGGACGAGGGACACAACGTTAAGTTGGAAAAATGCGGGGCGGGATGGGGAATTAACCCTTTACACTCGAGTGGTGACTCTGAAGCACCGCTAAGATTGTTGTATCGCGTTCCAACATAATTTTTATATTAACAAAGATTAGTAGATTTATATAGATTATAGATTTATGGATTATTTAATAGATTCATAAAAATTGTTAAAGGCGTAGCTATTGCTACCAGTAACCACAAGACTCGATTTCATGCGCATAGAATGCACTTTGTCGTACAAAATGGAAATATTATAAGCGAGAAAAATTCGTTTAGATTTACAGTTAAAATGGCTTCGAGTGCAAAGGGTTAACGGAGCAAGCTCGCGCTAAAAGAGAGCAAGCTCGATGACAGCTCGACTACGGGAGGACGAGACTACGGGAATAAGCAGAAGGAAGAAGAGATATCGGTGTAAGATAGCGGGGAGCGGAACCGATGGGATTTGTATCGAGGCTGGCAGAACTAATGCTTTCGGCCAGGCCAAGAACGAACTCGGGAAGATCGTGTGACCGATGGTATCTCTGCCGTGTCACGGCGGAAACTCACCTCGATGGGATACTTGTCGGGCACGTGGGTCCCGGAGACGGTGGCCGCGGTGAGCATTGTCAAAGCGAGGATCGATCTGAAACAGAGATATCGCAGAGAGACGCCTTAATTAATCGGACGTAATGGAATGCAATTTATTATCGTCGTTGTCAATCTGGCGGGGCGGTTTTCGCGATCGACGTTCGACGACCGTTGAACCGAGCCAATTATCCCGGTTATCGAGCGAAATATCTATCTCTCGGCATGGTTCTTAGACGTTTCAAGAATGCGATAATCTTCGCCGGATGACTAACGGGCCGACGACGAGCGGATAATTCCGCTCGCGCGATCGAACGCATCAATTAAACGGCATCCAGACGTTTCGGAGTACGTATTCTCGGAAACGGGATCCGGGGCCCGGGACTCGACTTGAAAATTGCATCGTCCGGCGCGTCGCCGCTTTGTCGACGGTCCCCGACACCGGCCGAGCATGCGTTCTCGATCAACCTGTCCCCGGATAATCGCGTAATCGCCGCTATAGATCTCGCAGCTTCTCGATTTTCCTCCGGGATATCGCGTGCATCGTTCCTAGGTGCAGGCGCCAGGCCGTTTCGCCGCTGCAATTATTAAAACTGCGCCGAGGATGCGTTTCTCGACGGTCAACGGACAAACGGATAAGCGAGTGAAAGAAGAGAAAGAGAGCGAGCGAGCGAGAGAGAGAGAGAGAGAGAGAGAGAGAGAGAGAGAGCGAAGAGGAAGGAGAAGTCCGTGACGTCGGTCTCGAGTAAACTGTGCCACTAAACACTAATAACGTTTCACTTGTTGTGTTTTCTCGGAAAGCTTAATTAATCATTACGCTCCGGTTCGTCGGAGGCGGAGGACGAAAAAGGGAGAGCGCGACGGGGATAGAAGGGAGAATGAAAAGTGGGGACAAGGGAAACGGACCGCCCGCTGCCACCGTGGTAGTCGCGTACTCGCGTGCGTGAAACCCACACACCGAACACGTGTAAACACACGTTCCAGCGGAATCAGAAAAAGCCTCCTCGCTTTCCACGCGATCCTCCCGAAGGAGGCGGTTAAGCCGCGTGCATAGCTGCGGATGCGACGAAGAAAGAGGATAACTTGTTTCTGGCAGCTCTGATTGAATATCCACCATTACCGCAATCCGAATCGATCCAGCGAAGACTTTTTGGAGACAACGCGAGCGCGTTCTTCGAAACTAGCTGCGCAAGGGACCTTGGGATAACGCTTGTATGTAACGCGAATTTTACGCGTTTACGAGAAAAATGCGCGGATCGAATGCGAGACCGTTTAAAGAGCTTTAAAACACTGCTGCGTTATTTTGAACGTAAAATGACTCGGATCAACGACAAATGTATATGCCAGCTGTCCGTCTGTCGGCATCGGTGATCGATGCAGATTTCTATTTTTTTATAAAAATTCGCATACCATTCGCGAAGAAGAGAACATTCGGAACATTCGTAGAGAACATTGGAGTAATATTTGGATAAATCGTGGGATGAGAAAGTTGATTGAAACGAGTGTCACAAATCCCGAAGCCTCGGAACGCGTGTCTCGTTGACGAATAATCGATCCGATGTCGGGATTACCAGCGGGCCCGTCATTGTCTCCCCATTGCGATCAATTGCGTCAGAAGTAAACTGGCGTATCGCGGTCCATTAGGCGCGATTATTGTGAATTACAGCGGGATACTTTGTTATTTATCGGCGTCGGGCGCTAGACCGCGTGCCTCGGTATGCGCATCGCCTAAGAGGAAAGGAACGACGACGATGCGACGTCTCTGGCTCTGTGTTGTTCGGTGCACGCGAAGCCGTGCCGCGAGAGATGAAGCATCGCACTTGCCGCGACTGCACCGGCCGCAGCCGCGGCGGCAGCCGGCTTCGAGAGCAATCGTGTGTCCGGGCCGCAACGGGCGAACACGTGTTCACCTCGCAATTCTTCGCGGCGCTAGAAACACCGCGAGCCGAACAGGCGAGATCGCCGTAAAATCGTTCGAGCGTGTTCCGATTCCAGTTAACTCTTCCCCGCTTCTCGTTCTCGCAGTCGTCCAGAACCTAACGATCCGCGCTTCATTCCGAGAACGATCTTATCTGCGATGCCACTTGTTAAATAGCGCGCACGCTATCTCTCTATAACGCGCTTCCAGCTCGTCGATGCTGCTCATTAACGGACGAACGCCTCCGATCGTCTTTTGTTGCGAACCAGTCGAGACGATACGCCGGTTTTCATGCAACAACCGAGCGGAATGATTCGCGCGACAGCGCGCGAATTGTCGCGACGACTTCAAGATCTCGCACATTTCTTTTTTTCTCGTTCGCTATCGGGGCTATTTTCTGTGTAGTTTGTTTGAATCGAGTGGAGTGGAGTCATAGTGGCGTACAGAGAATGTTACTAATTACCAACGCTTGTATTGTTTAGTCATTGAATTTGTTGTTAAGATAATTTAGAGTTCGGTTAATTTATAGTGACATTAATTTATAGTGACATTAATTTATAGTCATTTATTTACATTTATAGTCATTTATTTACATTTATAGTCAATTTATAGTCTCTTGTATCTTTAATATTTTCGCATTAATAGATTAAATTTCAAGTGAAAATTTTCGAAAATTCGACATACACCACTATGATTCTAACCCATTCGTTTATTAAGTATTTTAGTGTAATGAGAGGGTTAACCCTTTGCACTCGAAGCTATTTTAACTGTAAATATAAAATCATTTTTCTAACTNCTATAATAATATAACTAATATAATATTTGCACTCGAAGCTATTTTAACTGTAAATATTAATAATAAATATCATTTATCTAACTAACAGTGTTTTTATTTTATATGACAAAATGCATTTTATGCATATGAAATTGACTCTTGGGAGTCACACAACAATTACATTTTTAACAATTTTTTAAATCTAAATTTTGTTAATATTAAAATTATTTTAGAACGTGATATAACAAATTTTTGTGGTGCCTCCGAGTCACCACTCGAGTGCAAAGGGTTAACTTTGATAACAACGAAACGCGGTTCAGAAACGTGTAAGCGAACATCGAGAGGAATGATTCGAATGGATCCAGCTAGTATGATTCACGACAAAAATGATTCAGTCGAATACAAAACAGTATAAAAATGTAAAGAATTAAAAAATATTGCTGCATTATTTTCGGCTCATTAAAACGATTATGAAACGAAATAAATGCCTACGAAGCTCCTATATCTAATGATGAATATCTACCCTTCAGAGGTTAACACTAAACCCATCAAACCGATTAAAATGATCGATTTCACATTTTGTGTTACAATAGTTGACGATATTATAAAGACTCCTTCGTATGGAATGATCGAATAAATTTCTGAATCCGTAACATACATTGCAATAAAAATAGCAGGAGGTCTAAATAGATAGTCTTGTCATTTCTCTAAAGCAGCACACGTTACCGCGTTCGGTTCTATTGTTAATAAACGAATTCCACGAAGCCTCTTAGTCAACAATGAGTCGACGATGCGCCATTTTCGCAGCTGTAAGCTGGCACCGAATTGTGCATCGGCTGGGACGGTATCGTTGAAAGTCGTCCGAAAGTTGACCGGAAAGTTCGTGCCGATTTTGCATAGCCAAGCTTCACAGTATGATCATGGATGGTTGATTTTGATTTATTTAGCATTCCTGCTAATTGACGTAATGTGGAGCGTGGGTTATTCTCGATTTCTGTTCTAATCATATCTTTGTCTGTGGTGGACGGCCTACCTGGGCGTTCTTGATCTTCAAGGTCGAAATTTCCAGCTTTAAACCGAGCAAACCACTTCCGCACAGTTCTTTCGGCTACAGCATCCTCGCCATAAACAGCGCATATCTTATTTGCCGCTTGTGTGACATTTTTGCCCTTTCGGAAAAAGAAAAGCACTAAATGCCTACAATGCACTTTATTTGCCACCATATTCTAAGGCGTGCAAAACTGATAAAAATTAACGAATCGTAACCAAACTTTTTCCCAAATATTGCTGAAGTTATCTCTTTTAGAATATGTACACATGTCATTTGTTTTCAATAATTGTGATATATTCACAATATATATATTCACAATATATATTCACAATATTCACGCTACCTACCGAAAATCGGCACGAACTTTTCGGACAACCCAATATTTATCACGCAATTCGTCGACACCTTCTTCCGTAGCTTCCGTGCAATTGAAGGGGTGGGAGTCCCGTTGGAGAAGCGAGCAGGCAATTGCTGAAAACGCGGGACGGGGGCAATTTTCATTCTTCCAGCCGGGCAAAAACTTCCGGCTATAACTGCTGCCTGGTTCGTGGAAGTCGTTGAGGCTCTTTGACTCCGTGGCAGGCCCGAGACTGTCGTCTATTCCGCTCTCGCCCTCGACGATTCTAGCCGGCTCGGATCGGCGGCGATGAGCAGCGCGCCGAGACACGCGTACACGCTTCTTATCGATCGGTTTTTAGCATTCCACCGGCATTCGACACAAGACCGACATTGTCTCTTGCGCCGACATGCGACGACGCGGCGCATCGACCGCCCGCGATATCGAAACCATAACCGCCTCGTATCCTCGAGCGAAGAGAGTGCTGCTGCTGCTGGCACGGTACGCGCCGCGGAACACCGCTGTGGAAGGTCGGCACGCTGGCAAAAAGCTCTCTGTGTCTCTGCGCGGCCAGCGTGTGAAACGCGGTTTAGAGATCGCTGTCCCGTTCCGCCGGGCGCTCGCTTTTGTCCGGGTGTCCCGCGGGAACGAAACAATCGGCCGGACGCGTTTCGGTTCGGAATTTCGCGGATCCTCGCGGCTCGCCGGCCGCGCGATATTAATTCGCGTCGGTGCAACGATCCGATAATGATACCCCGGAGACCGCGATGCCGCGCGATTACCGCACGCCGGCTCCTCCGACAGATAATTCATCTCGACGAGCTAGGGTCACTGAACACTCGCCACCGCGCCAGTAGCAGTTGCACAAACACCAGCCTATCCCCCGGCCGGCTACATGGAAATCCCACGAGGAACGATAATACGCGTCGCGCAGATACTATCGGCGAATCCGACCAGTCTTCCAATCTCGCTGCGAT